CTTTTGTTTCCATTGGCTTTTATTCACAAGAGGCTAAGGTTCTGTTCCTTTGACCCCACAAATGCAAGCAAATGAAAGCAGAAACCTGGGTTTTGTCTGTTGCTGTATCCTCAACACCTATCAGGGTAAATGTCAACAATGTAAGAACAATGAAGGGATGAATATGGGAAGACTGGGTAATTCAGATGTGAGCTCAATTCATAGTTTAGTTTGCTGACTGTGTCCAAAAAGAACCCTGACTCCTACAGAAGTCCAAACAATCCTAAAAGTCACAACCATATCTCCAAAATAAAATGACATCCTCAGATTTCACCTTTTCTGGACTCTGTACATCCAAGAAGCATTATAGGAGACTTCTTTCCTAGTCCACCCTGTTTGTACCAGGCAGAGACTGGGAGGCTGATGAAAGAGGAGACAGGTTTCCCATGCCAAGTCCAGTATGAGGCCATCCCAGCCTCACATTTACTCTTAAAATGGCTGTCCTTCATTGTGTAATAGATAGCCTCAAACATTTGCAAACCCAGCAAGGAGTCATTCACCAGAGACTTTTGTTCCAAAGAAATAGGCCAGAGGAAGGAATGGACAAGACACACAAACTATCAATAATATGACATGAATCAAAATAGATGCTTTTCTCTGATGACCCAAGGTCCCTGTGGAGCATTCTGTTCTCATTTCACCACAACTGACCCATCTTCTCCAAAATTCCTAATGAGCTAAAGACCTATTCCCTGCCTGAATTTCTGTCTGCTCCTCTGTGCCTGGAAAAACACTAGGATATTTATTTCAAAGAGATCAGAAAGGCAGCCAGAGTTGTTTGAGACTGCACGTAGACTGCATGTGAGTAGCCAATCAGTCTTGAAAACCAACAGAGAGCCAGCAGAAGAGAAAACCCAGGCCAAATCCACAGCATCCTGTTTAAGCCACTATTGGCTATGGTTATTTACGAGTGACTAAGTAACAACGTGCTTGTAGTGCACTAAACTGACAAAAGACATTGCGTGAGAGAGCTTCAGGGAGGCTCTATGAAAGAGCTGCAGAAGCACTGGAGTGGTGGTGCTAAGCCCCATCTTACTGTGTGAACCAAAACAAGTTGCTCTCCCAAAGAGGGCCTCACACATGTGGCAGGCAGAATGGCCCCCAAAAAAAGTCCATGTCCTGATCCCCAGAACCTTGAATGTGAAAAAGGAAGCATGACTCAAAGGGCGGAGTCATGAGAACACAGGCAAAAGAGATTTTGCAGATGTAAATAAAGTTAAGGACTCTGAGATGAGGAGATTACCCTGGATTACCCAATGGAACCAACCCATTTACATGAGACCTTAAAAGTGAAGAGGAAGGCGGAAGAGGGGGTCAGAGAGACAGGACATGGGAAAGATTGATTTGCTGGTGTTGGTTTTAGGATGGAGGATGGTTGTTGACAGCCTAGGAGTATAACAGTTACCAAAGGCAGGGAATGGTCCTCCATTTACAGCAAGAAAATGGTAACCTTAGACCTGCAACTGAAGGAAGTGAATTCTGCCAACAACTGAAGCAGGAAACTAGTTCTCCCCTACAGCTTCCAGAAAGAAAAACAGTCTAATGACACTTTGATTTATTCTTGTGGGACCCACACTGGCCCCTGACCTACAGAACTGTAACTAAATAAAAAATTTTTAAAGCCCTTAAATTTAAGCATGGTAAACTGTTACTGCTGCATTAGATGATGAATACATGGTGTGATCCTGAGAAAACCTCAGTTTAGACATCAGTTTTGCTGTCAGTCAGTTGGAAGGAATGGATAAGGTGATTTCCGAGAGTCTGGCTTACTCTAGAAGATATTCTACCTCCCCACAGCTCTGGCCTGAGTGCCATGATGGACTCAGGTTGAAGACCATTAAAGGAAACAAAAAGAAGAAGTGAAATGAAGAGAAAAGTAATCTTTAAAAAGTCACAAAGTATTTTCTAAGATACCTCCTAAGGCATACCCCAGAGGAATGAAGTGGGAAACCTGGGAAAGCAAGAAGAAAGCAACGGGACCAATTGATAGAGGCTCTCCAGAACACTGAGTTAGGACTTGGGAACCTTGGGGAGGTGAGATGCAAAGTACTGATTGGTGATGTCTGCCTGGGCAGGGATCAGGAGTAGTGACGTATTTGTTAGATATTTGTCATCATTAATTGAAACTAATTTGGGAAAGCCAGTTTAGTTTTCTCTGTTTCTCCTTCTCCCTCCTCTGTTTCATTCTCCTAATCTTATATAGTGGGTCACCTGCCAATCTGCCAATCAGAATACAAATCAATAAAATAAGGAAGCTCTATCTACACACAACTAAGCAATTTAAAGTGCACAATTTGAATCTGGCTTGACGTTGTTTTGCCAGGCACTTCTAACTCTGGCCTCTTCTCCTTCCTTGCTACCTAAAGCTTTGCCTCTAATGCTGTGTTCTCTCTTGAGGTACCCCTTCTGTCTTCTAAATGAAGGTAAGAGGGTTAGAGTCCCTAGTGATCCACCAGTATACTGGCTGTCAATTTTTCACTTAACTTCCCCCAGGCCATCCTGCAAATAAGATAAGATCTGAACCCTAGTTCTCCCAAACTCTAATATAGATCAGAGGAGAGACTCTGGTGCCAGACTGCTTGGGATCACACCTTACTCTGCCACTTACTTTATGTGTGATTGTGAGTAAGTTATTCTCTCTGGAGCTCAGGTTCCTTGCCTATTAAATGGAGGGAATGATGACCCCCTCCCTAATAGGATGTGGTAAAGACTAAATGAATACATGTGAAATGGTGAGAATTATGCCTGGCTCACAGTAACCACTCAACTAATGTCAAGTAGGATTATTAGTCCAGCATACCTGGCCAGTCTGGGTGTGGTGATGTGTAATGCCAGCATTTACTCCTATAAACTATAAAGCGGGGAGGGGAACCTTTGCATTGCCAATAGTGGCAAAATAAAGATCCTCTTTCCTTGGAAATATCCCCTTCATTTGTGTGTTTTGATTCACAGAGAAGAAACAGGGCATTTTTTTTTTTTAAAGAGAAGAATCAGAATACAGCAGGGAAAACATTTGAGTTTGCGAATATCCCTTGGTCTGTCACTCCCTGGGCCCTTGGCCTGACCCAACCACATCCTCTAGAATCTCTAATTAGTTCTGAGTCTCTGACTACAGTTCCATACTGAGTTCTCTGGCTGGGCCAGAGAGGGGAATCCCCAGACCCTTTGTGCAATCAAGCCTGAGGCAGTTCAGAGAGGTCATTGTGGGAGATTTGATGGATCATGACTTGTCACCCCACAGTATGACTCACAGCCCCAGGACGGGTGGAAACAGGAGGTCTCCACTGGAACAGAGAACATTTCATGGCTTTTTTGTTTCTCACCGCAGAAGTACGTGATGTTGAAAAGCTCAGCTGGGCTGTCTCTTGTGTGTTCAGACAGTTGGGGAGTGCCTTGTACAATCCAAACAGCAGGCCATGCTCACCCACAAACATGTACCTGCCCTACTCCTACTTCCTCATTTCACAGATAGGGTCCAGAGAGGGGAAATGCCTCCATTGTGGTAACTCAGAGGCTCTCCAGACCCCCCCCAAGAACTGTTCTTCCCACCCCTCACCACACTCCCAACCCAATGAGGCACTCACAACTCCTTCTGATCTATTTACCCTCTGCAGTGGTACCACAGACCACAGATGCTTCAGCAAGTTCTGATGGGTGAATGACTGAGTAGCTTCCATTGCATCCTGAAGCTGTGAGGAGTTGAGTATCCATTGGCTAGACAATGGGGAGAACCATCAGCCTCCAGGTGCCTACAGGATTCTGCCAGTCAGGAAGAAACAATCAGGGTGGAGGGGATGAATTCAAGTATGATATATCTGATACATTATAAGAACCTTTGTAAATGCCTCAATGTACCTCCACCCAGCACAATAAAGGAAATAAATAAATAAAAGAAACAGAGTGGAACTGCATAAACAGGAGCCCAGCCCAACCACTCAATCAGAACAACCCTGGCACAGGTTTTATGGTTTATGCCTTTCATCCTTTCACTCACAAAGCATGTATTGTGCACCTACTGCTTGCCAGACCCTGTGCCAAGTGGAGAGATGAAGACAGATACGCAGTCCCTACACTCAAGGAATGGAGGTGGAGAGCCCGGCGGAAAAGAATCAGCAATTGGAAAACTAAAGGAGCAGACAGCCAGTGGCTCACGCCTGTAATCCTAGCTACTCAGGAGGCAGAGATTAGGAGGATCGCGGCCGAAAGCCAGCCCCGGCAAATAGCTCGCAAGACCTATCTCGAAAAAACTCTCCACCCAAAAAACGGCTGGTAGAGTGGCTCAAGGTGTAGGCCCTGAGTTCAAGCCCCAGTACTGCAAAAAAAAAAAAAAAAAAAAAGGAGCAGACAGCCGGGAGAAGGGAGCAAGGCCTTTCTCCAATACACTTTTCACATGTCCTTTCGCATTTGCGTTCTGTATCTATTTCACAGACAGAGAAACGGGTTCAGAGAAACGATGATAAAACAGGATAGGACAGAACCAGGACCAGAACCCATCAATCCTAACTCCAAAGTCCTGGCGCCTTTTATGTGGGGCTCTGCTAACAAGCTTGCTTTCTGGATGCTGCAAAGACTCAAACCCAGCGCAGCGTGGTGGCGCGACCGGGCTCAAAGACGTCGGGCCGGGGGAGCCAAGAGCTCCAAAGCCAGCTGGGGGAGGGGGCGCGCTTCCCGAAGGCAGAAAGAGGCAAAGCCGAGAAGCCGGTGTGCAACCGGGCTGGGGCTCACCCATGGAGCCCGGGCCTCTCGAGGCCCAAAATTGTGAACAGAACGTGTCTGGAACTTAGGGGTGAGATCCGGAGGGAAGGGAAGAAAGTGGGGGGAAATAAACGCCGAAGTGCTGCGAGGGTACAAAGAGAAGCGTTGGAAGGGCACTGGGGTAGGGGTAGCGCGAGAGTTAGACGAGTCCGAAGACGTCCGCCCGACCAGTGCCCCACAAGCAACACCCGATGGCCGGCACTCACCCCGAGTCCGCGGTTCTTCTTTGAAACCCTGCGGTCCCCCAGCGGGTCGAGAGAAAGTTCCCGGCGCAAGGGCAAGTCGGAACTTCTCCAAGTCCCCAGGATCGCCCAGGATCCGGCAGCCGGAAACGACCCCCAGCCCTGGAATCTGAGCCCAGCCAGCGCCCGGAACGTGCCCCAGCTGCTCCGAGCCCCGGGAGTGCGCAGGAGCGTCTGGGACGCGTGGCTCAGCACCCTGCGCGCCGCGCTCTGGTGGCTCCGGAATGCGCGGCCGCTGGGGACCGCTCCCCTCCTCCCCCAGGCAAGCCCGAGACCCCAGCCTCCGCGCAAACCATGTCCAGCTCCTCCCCTGCCTCCCTCGCGGACTGCTGGGGAAAAAGGAACCTGCAAGGGAAAGAAACCAAAGAGTCTAGGGTTCCCCTTTTCACCGTGCCACACACTCGTGATGTGCGTGGCACACATTTCGCCTCAGGGGGTGGCGTGGGTGGGATGTCTCTACTCTGTATTGTAAACTGAGACGGTTGGTCTACTACCTGTCCTGCAGGATCCTTTCCAGCTGTTGTCTAGACAGAGGAAAATCCAGAAAGTGGGTTTGGATGGAGGAGCCAGGAAAGGTTCCTGCTTTATAGTGTGCTGAGTGTAGGATCTGTTCATTCTGTCTGTAAAGGGAGAACTCAGCCCTCTCTTGAGGATTGACTTAGAAGAACAGTGTGAAGCTGGTTGGTTGGCATAATAAGCCTCTAAGCATCCTGTTTATTTTGTGATAACGTGAAGTCCGCGGTGACCAGCGGCCTATTAGAATTATGCCTCTGAGCGGCTTCCCATCCTCTTTGTTCATGGTCCAACTTCCACACAGGACAATGCTAACTCTGCAATCCCCTTCTCCCCTCTGAGATCAATGGCATAAGGGAAGACTCTCATTCCTCTAGCTCTCTTGACTGCCAATAATATGTTGTAGTTCTTGAACTTACCCCCTACTGTTTCCTCTGACTCAGGGATGAGATCAGCAGAAATGACATCAAATCATCATTACCAGACACCCATTTTTTACAGGGAGGGCAAGGAGGATGAGAGGGGTTGACATGAGAAGTGATTCAACAAAAATTCTTAAGTGTTATCACCCAACAGCGTGTTTTGACCAAAAGAGAAAATGCAGGGTGCTAAAAATATGCACAACCCTATTCTGAATGCTTTAAGACAACACTCTTCTTTAACAGGAAATATGTTACAAGACAATCTTAATTTAATACAAAGTATTCCCTGGTTAATGGAATGGGACTGGGGGGGTGTCATTTGAGTGGACAACTGATAACTGAATGTGCCCTACCATGAATGTTGGCTTCCCTTGGAGACAATGCAGACCCCCAGGACTAAAGCCAGCATCAGGAAGGCTTTGCGTCTTTTCCACTTAGCAGGGTATCAGTATCTTTAATATTTATTCGTTCTGAGACCCAAAAACTAAGCCCCACAAAAAGTTGAATGCCCTATAGGAAGCATACAGCATCATCTGCTGCCTCAGTTGAACTGATTTTAAATCATAAATACACAAGACTTTTTCTTTTCAGTTACACAAGTATATTTATTAGTTGTGAAGAATAACAAGTTATGTTGAATTGGAAATTAGGAAACCAAATTTCTGAGTCTGTCACTCAATAGCTAAAGAATCATTATTGTCTCATTTTCTTCGCTTGTAAAATAGTAAAATGAGAACTATTCCTCCTGTGTGGTAGAATTATCATGACTAAAGATTTCATTCATGTATCTCTCTACTAAAAATTATTCATTGGTTGGTCATAGTGTTACACTCCTGTAATCCCAACACTGGCAAAGTGGAGGCAGGATAATCACAAATTGGAGGCCGGCTTGGGCTACATAGTAAGACTATGTCAAAAAAAGAAAGTCATTGAATAGCTTCACATTCTAGTCCTAAAGAAAACAAATTATCTTTATTTATTGCACTTCCATCTAGAACCTACAGATTAAGTGTTATCTTGATGATAAAACAGCCTCCATCACTATTCACATCTTGTTTTATGTTCTTCATGGTTTCACAAACTGATACCATTTTGCTTATTTATCTCTTAGAAAGTTAGACTACAAAAACAGTGCTCACCAATGTTTGCACATACCTTTGTCCCTTATTTTTATGTTTAGAGCAGACAAACCTTTGTGTTACATTAATGTATATGTTCTATTTTGTCACCTTAAGAAATGTAGAAGGGATGTGTGGCTATAGGAAGTTTTATAATGATTACTTTTAACTTTCTCTTTTCTTTGAGACAGTGTCTTGCTGTGTAGCCAGGAAGGCCTCAAACTTGAAGTCCTCCTGCCTCTGCCCCCTAAGTGCTGTGATGACAAATGTGTACCACTAGGCCCAGCTTGCTTTTGATTTGTGCTTCCAGCTAAATCCTTCCATATTTCAGAGCATCCTCAGTTACTTCCCAAAGTTATTTCTTTGAGAAAACAGGAGGAATGTACATTGATTTGTTAAAAGTTGTGATTTGTATGGATCATTGATACTATGCTAAGAATTGAAGTAGCAAAAAACATGAATGCTATGTTTCCCAACCTCAATTATGAGTGTGGTTTGATTTATCAAGGGAAAAAAATGAGCAATTTTGTCAACAAATAAATGTGCCCAAATGTGTAAGACCATGAAAAGACAAAACTTGAAGGTACAAGGTGAGAAGCTTGGGGAAAAGAAAACTTTGTTTCCAGAATTTAGAAAGATGTAATTATTCATGTGTTTTTACATTCCAAACCATCTTTGGTCCTTCTTAAATGGATAAATTACTGAAGGCTTAGTATCTCAACCTTATAACACAAAATGTATCATTTACAAGCAGAAAGGATGCTAAAATTAATTAGGTATGTTTGATATTGTTTCATATTTTAACTGGCTTAATAATGTATGAATTGCATTATATATTGAGCCTTCAAAATGGAATAAGCTGTCCAATCAAAAAAGTAAAGTTAATCTTTCTTATATTACTTCTTAAAGTAAATGTGTCATTGTCCCCATGTTTACAGTACACTCTTACACTTGAGGAAATGCTGACAAAATCCATAACCCAACAGAGAATGTTTCTCTCCTTTTCTAATATAGTTGACTACTGCAATAAAATAATAGAACCTTTGTTTTAATCATAGCAGATGGCTTTTACTTTCTTTCCATGCTTGCGTGAAGACCTCTGTTATAAGCTAAAGAGTCTTCAACAAAGACAGACACTCCCAGTGCCTAGGCAGAAAGAACTGCACTGGGTACTCAAAACTGGAACAGACTTATAGAGCCAGGCTTCTCAACATTAACTGACCACAGCAGACATCTATAGAATAACCCACAGGATTTTATCAGAATTGTTAGCCCAGGGCTTTTAGTTCAGAAGCAAATGACCACGGAAGTACTCTGTAGATTTGTGAGTCACAAATAAATCACATAAGCTTAATAAGCCAATAAGGGAAATCTAATCATGGTTATTTGTTTTGGAATCCTGTTGTATTGTTTTCTGATGTGCATGAGGAAGAAGTCCTTTTTTCTTTCATTTTTAATTATTTAGTTTCTTCTTGATCTATTTGTAATCCTCAATTTAGCAAACTATGCTTATGCAAACTGTAATGAAATATTTTTTAATGATACCTGTTCCCACTGACCCCTCAGAATTCAGGAGTAAATACTGTTACTGAGTCCCTGGCTATGTAGCTATATAAATAGATTCAAAGAATCTGTTCTCCTCTTTACCAGGATATAATGGACAAATCTATTACACAATCAAAGCTTCCACAGAGCTTTGTACTTGAGAATAAATGTCATTTAATCAGTTATAATTGCATAACCAATAAGAACAAGAATGGTTCTTCTTATGTAGAAGCAAGGCTACAAAGCTGTCTGAGGACATTAGTCTGGTATCTGTTCCTTAGTTTATAAAGTCCCAAGATTATGCTAATAAGACAGTAAGGAAGTTCGCTTGCAGGTAGATGAGCAATGTTTTAGAAAATGGTAGAGACCTGGAGAAAAGAGGAAGTCTTTCACTTGTAGGTACTGCATGTAAGACCTAATGGAAATGAATTTCTTGGCTGTGGTGTCCTGGTAATGTAAGGCACATTTTAGATTCAAAGGTACAAATAGATTGAAAGTAAAGGAATGGAAAAGTATAAATGAAGCAAGTGGCAACCATAAGAAAGCTGGAATAGCCACATCCATAGCAAGAAAAATAGTGTATAAAACAAATAGAAATAAAAAGGTACATTTTACAATGTCAACGGGTTATACCCAGCCAGGTTTGGTGACATGCACCTATAATACTGGCACTCAGGAGGCGGAGGCAGGAGGATTGTGAATTTGAAGGCCGCCTGAGCTACATAGTGAGACCCTATTATTTAAAAAACAAAAAAACAGGGGCTGAGGGTGTAGTTCACCCTCACTTGCCTAGCATAGCATGTGCAAGTTCCTGTATTCAACCCCCAATGCTATGGGAGAACACTGTAAGAATTAAAAACAAATCATTTAACAGAGAAAAATGTAACACAAAGCAAAGGTTGATAGATTTGAGGGAAGAAATAAATAATTTAGCAATAATTGTCAGAGATTCTATTATCTGTAGTACCTCATTTTCAATATCAGATAGAATATCTAAGCAGAAGGTCAACAAAGAAACAGGAGAATTGAACAATACTGTGCACAAGCCAGACCTAAAACTCATTTACAGAACACTCCACCCAAGAACAGAAGAAAACGTATCCTTCTCATGTGCACATAGAACATATGCCAGTCCATCAAACAAGTCTCAGTAAATTTAAATAACCTGAAACCTTACTTTAACAGAATGAAGTTATTTTAAAATAACTAGTACTTCAAAGAAGAAATCACCAACAAAATTAGAAAATACCTTTTTGCTTGTTTGTTCATTTATTCATTTGTTTGAGTCAAGATTTTGCTGTGTAGTCCAGGTTGATCTTGAAATCATGATTCTCCTGCCTTAGCCTCCTGAGTGCTGGGATTACAAGTGTGAGCAACCATACCCAACTTAGAAAGTACTTTAAAGTGATGAAAATGAAGACACAACATACAAAAGTCTATAGAAGAAATTCATAGAGGAAAAATAGCTATAAATGTCTCCATTAAAAAAAATCTCACATCAAACAACCTAACCTACTACCTTAGACAGTGAAAAATAAAAGAGCAAACTAAACCAAAATCAAGCAGAGGGAAAGAAATAATAAGGCTTAGAATGGATAATAACAAAAGTACAGAATATAAAAATAATCAAGAACAACAAAATCAAAATCATTTCTTTGAAAAGGTAAACAAAATTGACTAGCCTTTACCTGAACAGAGCAAGAAAGACAAAGGCC